TTCAATTTCGATTGGGTGGCGGAGCTTGGATCTGGAACGATTTACTGGCCAGATTTGAGGCAATGCCGCGGTGGGGTGGAGCTTGCGGTTGGTTCTGGTGTGCTTTGGCAAGGTGCCAATGGTGGAACGGCCGGCAATTCTCATGGACGTTTCGACAGTGCAGCTGCGATTCATCGTGATTGGAAAGTGGGTGATATCGCTACAAATGGAAACTGTCAGCCCAGTCCCACGCCCAGTCCGACGCCCAGTCCGACCCCTAGCCCCACGCCAAGCCCGACGCCGTACCCGACGGTCCACACGCCGCACCCGGGCAGCGATGGCGGCTTTGTGCTGGCGATGCGGTTTGCCACCTTCAGCCAGTTCACCTTCTCCAGCGACTACTGGACAAATGACCAACTCGTGGATGAAGCCGATGCTGACCCTTACAAGGATGCCGACGGAAAGTTTGACGCATTTCTGTCTGCGCCCGCGACCGAAATAAGAGGGTGTCTCCCTGGGGGGTGCAAGACGTACAATTTTGCCTCCATGGGGCTTCCCACGACGACGACTCTCAAGGATCTGTTCGCCACTACTCCCATCGGCTCCTCCACGAATATCAGGTTCGGCGAATCGACTGCTGATATCAGGCTGTGGGCTGAATACGCCGGGCGGAACGGATGGGCGGAAGAAACCGTTTGGATGGGTTCGGGCATTAATTACGCAGACGACATGTCAATCTATCAGGCCAGGGTGCGATTCGGTGCTCTCTTCAACAACTATGACAGAGTTGGTGATGCCGACGACGCCATCGGGTTTGGGGCAACAGAGGCTGAGGGTCAAGGTATGGTGGGCGCTGGAGCGACGACTTGGCCAAGGAATTCGTATCCAGTGCAGGGCACGATCTGGGTCAAGACCCCTGCGCCCAGCCCGACGTCCAGTCCGACATTGGCACCGACGCCAGCGCCGACACTGGCATTGATGCTGTTGTACACAGAGCATACGGGTCAGACGTGCGATGGGAACGGTGTCGCCGGCAACTTGGGCTCAATCAGAGTAGACGTCTTTGGTGGTGATATTGGACCTTGCGCCGACGAGTGCAATTCGAATCAGGAGTGCGTCGGATTTGTGCATGTCTCGACTGGGGAATGGTCCCCTGCCTGTTTCCTGCGCTTGGGAGCGATGGGGAGTCCGACGCCTTTTTATTCGGACACGCGCACCTGTTACGAACGCAAGCCGACAGCCGACCCGACGCCAAGCCCCACGCCCACCCCGACTGCGGCGTCGACGCCAGCACCAACGCCAGCACCGACGACGTCATTGTCCTCCGCCACCGGCGATCCACACTTGCAGAACATGTTCGGTCAGCGGTTCGATTTGGTGAGGCCAGGCAAATCTGTCTTGGTCAGCGTTCCGCGCGGAATGCCCGTCGAGGACGCGCTGCTTGTTGTAGAGGCAACGCGCGTCGACTGGGGACACACTGCTCGGACATGTACTTCCAGGAGATCAACGCCACAGGGACGTGGGCGAACAAGGTGCGGCCTGGAGGCTTTCACTTCGACGCTCACGACGCGCGTGACGAGACGCCGAAGTGGCTGAAACTCGGGCTTGTGGAGCTCAAAGTCGGCAGCGGTCACACCGACAAGGGGCAGCCGTATCTGAACGTCTACGTCAAGAACCTTCAGCGCACTGGGTATCGTGTCGGAGGGCTGCTGGGAGAGGATGGCCACACGGAGGCGGCGGTGCCTGAGGAAGGGTGCAAGAAGATGTTGTCCCTCGAGGCGCGGTTGTATGGTCAAGCTTCGGATCTAAAGGGCTCCGTCGCAATTGGCTACTGAGCCGAGGGCTCCCGACTCCGCGCGGGGCGGTCGAGCCCGCCCGCCCGCTCGCAAGGGGTGAATTGATGTGCCCCGCCGACATTTACATCGAATTCCAGAGACCTATAGGGATCTGCGACGACAGAGCGTACATATGTACATCAAGCGTGGCGCGTTGCCGCTTGTTTTAATCGATGGCAAGCGTGTGCGCGCCTTTTTCCGTGATACCGCGATCAGCAGTTTGCCGATAGTGAATAGTGGAGTCGTGGGTGGGCAGGGGGGGGCTGGGGTCGGCCAGCCAGCGGGGGCGCTGTGTTGCGTGCCAGATTTTGTTGCCAGCGCTTCCCGCGCGAGTCAGGCGTAGCGTGCTGCCGCTTGTTTGAATCGATGTCAAGCGCGTGCGCGCCTCGACTCCGTGGAACCGCGTTCGGCCGTCTCCGTTGCAGACGGTGGACGGAGCAGGTCAGGGTGAGCTGGAGGGATGCTTCGGTAAGGAATCATACATTACAGCCTCCTTCGAGTGCCCCCCATCCGCATCCTCCTCATCCTTCCTTCCTCTACGCATGTCTCCCCTCTTCCATGTTCCACTTGCCATGCGTTTTGCATTGTCTTGCGGCGGATCCCCAGCCCATCCTAGAGTTGTCCTCTCGCTGCGAGTTCTCTCCGATGTCGCTGATGCGGTGAAGTGGCGGGGTTCGGGAGAATCAGAACATCCCCCCGCGAGCCCGTACCCGCTTTTCCTTTTCGATTGACGCCTGAATATTTGTGCTGCCCCCCTCTTACATTTCACCTGCTTCGCGATGCTCGCAGCTGTACATGGTTTGGTCTTCGCCAGGCTAAGTTTGTTAAAAGGGGGTTCTGTCCACACCCCATTTGGGCCGCTCCTTTATACTGTAGAGAACTTTTTGATAGCGTGTCGTTTCACCTGGTCTGGCCCACCACGCTTGGGTGCGACACGCTATCCACGCCACTATTCCCAGAGGTCAACGTTCCGTGACCCCGAGCCTCCCGCCCCGCGGAGCGGAGCGACATTCTATCCGATCGCAGGGCATAGCGTGCCGCCGGGGCCGCCCGGGCCGCCAAGCAACACGCTATCCAATAGTTCCGAAAGACCGCTTTCTGGCGCTACTAGCAAGGGCCCCCCCCCCGGGTTCGACCCTGACGGGGGGGGTAGAACAGCATCCCACTCCTAATTTGGGAGGGGTAGTAGTAGTAGTAGTAGTAGTAGTAGTAGTAGTAGTAGTAGTAGTAGTAGTAGTAGTAGTAGTAGTAGTAGTAGTAGTAGTAGTAGTAGTAGTAGTAGTAGTAGTAGTAGTAGTAGTAGTAGTAGTAGTAGTAGTAGTAGTAGTAGTAGTAGTAGTAGAAGTAGTAGTAGTAGTAGTAGTAGTAGTAGTAGTAGTAGTAGTAGTAGTAGTAGTAGTAGTGGTAGTAGTAGTAGTAGTAGTAGTTGTTGTTGTTGATGTTGCTGTTGTTGTTGCTGATGCTGATGCTGATGCTGTTGCTGTTGCTGTTGCTGTTGCTGTTGCTGTTGTTGTTAGATGATTTTTATACAGCAGTTATTAATATTGGACCACTTAAAGAGGCGCCCTGGCGATCTCGCCGAGGCGCCGGCTGCATTTTCATTGAAAATTAGGTTCGCTCTCAAGCGGTTTGGGGGACCGCCAAAACTGGCCCCCCAACAACAACAGAGCTCCCGTTCGAGACTTCGTTTTTTTTGCTCATGGCCGGTGCTCCTGCTCGCCGCCGAAAGCAGCCGTCTCAACAAAACCAGTGCTCCCGCTCGAGTTTTCCTCCCGTTTTACCTTGGACAGGCATGCTACCCTTTCTCTCATCGGCGCTGGCAGCAACAACGCTCCCGCTCCAGACATCCTCCCTTTTTACTTAAGGCCGTGCTCTTGCTCGCCGCCGACAGCCCCCGTCCGACAAAACAAGCGCTCCCGCCCGAAATTTCCTCCCGTTCTACGCTGGACTAGCGCCCTTTTTCTCCTCCTTTTCCTCGTCCTCCTCCTCCTCCTCCTCGTCCTCGTCCTCCTCCTCCTCCTCCTCCTCCTCCTCCTCCTTCTCTCCTCCTCCTCCTCCTCCTCCTCCTCCTCCTCTCCCTCCCCCCCTCTCCTCTCCTTCCTCCACCCCCTCCTCTTTTCCCTCCTCCCTCCTTCTCCCTCCGTCTCTCTTTCCTCCCTCCTCCTCCCTCCCCCCTTCGCCTCCTTTCCTCCTTCCTCCCTCCTCCACCCCCTCCTCTTTTCCCTCCTCCGTCTCTCTTTCCTCCCTCCTCCTCCCTCCCCCTTCGCCTCCTCCTCCTCCTCCTCCTCCTCGTCCTCCCTCCTCCTCCTCCTCGTCCTTCTTTTCCTCCTCCTCCTCCTCCCTCCCCCTTCTCATCCTCCTCCTCCTCGTCCTCCCTCGTCCTCCTCGTCCTTCTTGTCCTCCTCCTCCCTCTCCTCCTCCTCCTTCTCCTCCTCCTCCCTCTCCTCCTCCTCCTCTCTCTCTCTCTCTCTCTTTTTCTCCGTCCCCCCAGCTCGCGATGTTCTTGTATTTCCTTCGTCTCAGTCTCTCATAGGTTGTTTGTTGTTTTCCGCTCCCTCTCTCTCTGTCCCTCCCTCTCTCTCTCTCTCTCTATTCTCTCTCTATGTATATGTTGTTTAGTTTCTCTCTCTCTCTCTCTATCTCTCTTTCTTTCTCTCTTAATCAGTCTCCCTCTCTCTCTGTCCCGCTCTCTCTCTCTTTTTATTATATCTTTCTCTCGCGTTGTTTTGTGTGTGTGTCTCTCTCTCTCTCTCTCTCTCTTTCTCGCTCTCCCTCTCTCTCGTTTTTTTGATTGTTTTGTTTATCTCTCTCTCTCTCTCTCTCCCTCTTTTTTTTTTTTTCCTCTCTCTCTCTCTCTCTTTCTCGCTGTCTATATATATAGATATATACACGTAAACAGAGACGTGTTTTATAGTTCGTGTGTTTCTTTTTTCTCTACCTGTTTTAAGTTTGTTTCTCCCTCCCCCCCACTTTCTCTAAAGTTCTCGTTCTCTCTTTCTCTTCATAAGTCTATGTCTCTCTCCCTCTCCGTTTCTCTCGCATCCGTCTGCTCCGTTTTTCGCGTGCGTGATGGGATCGGTACGGGAGATTGAGAGGGGGTCGAGGATTGCTCCCGGATGTTATTTTTCAGCTTTCGCGCGCCTCTTGGGGACTTCCTCGGGGCGCGGGGGGCGGCGCCCGCGCGAGGCGCTGGGTTCGCTGGACCAGCTGCGGCAGGCGGCCGAGGACGGAAGGCGGCGGGCCGACGCGTTGGAGGAGCCGTCGCCGCCAGTCACCGTCGCCGTCGTTTTCGCCGACCATCGTCGTCCTCAGCGTCATCGTCGCTGTCGCCGTCACCGTCGCCGTCGTCGTCGTCGTCGCCCCCCCCCACCCCACATCGTCATGCAGAAGAGGAGCACGAGGAGTGGGAGCAGGAGGGGGGGAAGGGGAGGAGGCTGGGCAGGAGGGGGATACTCGTCAGCTCCAGGATCACGTGTGGGGACAGGAGGGGGGTAGACGGAGGACGGGGGCGAAGGAGGGAGCCCAATCTTCCCCGTCAGATTGTTGCCGCTCCTCCTGTCACACCCTGCTTCGGTCCTGCCTCCTCCTCCTCCTCCTCCTCCTCCTCCTCCTCCTCCTCCTCCCCGTAGCCATTTTGGCTCAAGATGGCGACCTGGGGGGCTGTCCAGCCTCCAGGCCGAAGGGAGACCTCTGGACCGAGGACAGTTCCCAGACGGGCGTCGGGCGCGCGCGCGGCACTGCTGCAGCCATGGGGAGTGGCGGCGGCGGACGCGGGGCGGGCAGCGCCTGGTCGGGGACCCCGAATCGCCAGAGGGTGCCCCCGTGGAAGAGGAGCAGCAGTGGCAGTCGCCCTCCTCGCAGCAGCTACGTGGTGTGTGACGGGTGCAGCAGATGGCGCTACTGCAAGAATATCACCAGCAGGGGCGACCTCTGCATCTGCGGCAAGAATCTCGCCTGCCTCGTCCCCGACGGACATGTCTTCCGTGACGAGGATGGTGGGTGGCTGGCAGCACAGCCCCAAGGAGGAACCTCGCCCAGGATCAGCTGGGCAGATGGCTGGCAGCCAGGAGGTGGTGCAGGCGGGAAAGGGCAAGGAGGCCAACGCCAGCCGCCACCTCACGACAATACCGTCGATCTCAAGGCCGCCGCCGCAGCAGCATACAGCAAGCTCAGCAAGGACGACCCGCTCAGGCAGCACTACGAGGCCCTCTGGCCAGAGCTCGCCGCAGCCAAGCCACCAGCAGAACAACCAGTCGTTGGATTCAAGGCAGTGGAGGCAGCAGCTCGACGCTTGGACAAACTCCAGAAGAAGGTACGATCGGCAGGGGAGCAAGTGGAGAGTGCCCAGCAGTACTTGGCTGAGAGTGAACGCAAGCTTCGTGAAGCTATGGAAGCCTCCATTGCAGCTGAAGGTGAGTTCGACAAGCTCAAGGCCACAGTCGGCAAGCAAGAGGCACCAGCTGAACCTGCAGTCGAGAAGCCAACTCTGGCAGCCCTCCTGGAGCAGTTCGAGCATGAGCCTGACGACTTCCACAAGTGGTCCGAGCCCGACAAGGAGGTCTGGCGAGCAGCAAAGGCCAAGGGCGAGCGTATGGCCAGACGGTCAAGGAGCACGAGGAGGAGACGGCGAAGCACCTGCGACTTCTGGAGGAAGAGACGGCCAGGCACCAGGAGCAGCTGCGCCAGCTCGAGCAGGCCCGCACCAAGCGCCTGTCAAAGAGCGGAGAGCAAGACCCAAAAGCAGCAGAAGCCCCACCAGGCAAGCGTGTCTGCGCCGCCAGCCCAGCCCCTCAGCGAGGTGCCACCACAGGCGCTGAGGCAGCAGGGTCAGCTGCCGCGGCTGCGCCTAACGGCGCCGCAGCAGCTGCCCAACCAGAAGCAGGTGCAGCAGAACATGACAAAGCTGAGGAACGCCGAGCCAGAGTGGAGGCCCACATCCAGGAGGCGCGAGAGAAGGTCTCGCAGGCCAGGCGCGCCGAGACAGTCGTCGACGCAGAAGGGCAAGGTGGCCACTCAGCAGGGTAGCCGCCCCAAGGCGAGCGCGAAGAAGGCTCGCCGCCCTTGCCACATCGACTTCTTCAATGTCACGACCTGGGGCCCCCAGGCACAGGGCTACCTCATGGAGATCAACGACGCCAAGGACAGGGACATCATCGGCATCGCGGAGCACCACCTCCGCCAGCCAGCGCAGATAAGCAAGGCGAGAGCGGCGCTCAGGAGGAATGGCATGCACAGCTACTGGACCAAGGCACGGCCAGGAGAAGGAGAGGGCACTCGAGGAGGAACGTGTGCCATCACGCGAGGATCCTTGGACATCCAGGACAGGATCGCGGGTTTCGACGAGCACTACCTGCACGAGGACGGCAGCGACGTCACGGTGGTAATCTCCAACCTGCGCAAGGTCCGCTTCGCAGTGGCCTTCGTCTACCTCGAGTGCGGGGCGGGCTTTGGAGAGAGGAACGCCAACATCCTCTGCGACCTGCGGGAGAAGATGGCCGTCTGGGGAGGGCCATGGGCAGCGCTTGGGGACTTCAACATGACGCCGTCGGAGTTCGACAACAGCATCTGGCCCAGGGTGCTGAATGCTCAAGTAGCTGCGGCGGAGGATGGCGCCCCCCACATGTTCCCCAGCAGGAGGTGAGGCCAGGTGCATCGATTTCGCGCTGATCTCGCAGGGCCTGGCGCCGTATTTTGACCAGCTAGAGCTGCTCAGGACCGTGCCGTGGAAGCCGCGCATCGGCATCCGCTTGAAGTTGAAAGGGCGGCCTCTCATGCTCAAGGGCAGGGTGCTTCGCAGGCCAGCAGCCATAAAGCCACCAGTCGCAGTTGAGAGAATGCCGAAGTCCAGAGCCGCTCGCAGACGAGCGGCGCGAGGAGGCCAGGAGGCCATGCGCCGACGTCAGCAAGCGTTGGCAGAGGCAGGATGCGACCTGGAAGAGAACGACATGGAGCCAGTGCCGCAGCTGTACTACGACAAGGAGGTCCAGCACGTCATCCCTGACGGGCTGTGGCAGGCCACCTCCGAGAGGGTCAGCTTGCGTGCCTACGACGAGTTGCCCCAGCTTTTGCAGCGCACTGTCGTCGGCAAGATGATGGAGCGGGACATGCTGGACCTGGGGCAACAGTACGACCACTTCGCAAGCACCCTCGAGCTCAGCCTGTGCGAGAGCATCGGCATCCCAGAGGAAGAGCGAGGACGACATCTCGGGCACAGCAGGCCCCCGAGCTACAAGAGCGTGAGCATCAAGGACACCGTCACCTCTACGCCATGGGCAGGGGTCGAAAGGGAGATCCATGCGTGGTGGGCGGAGATCTCCTCCTTGGTGCGGCAGCTCTCGCACCATGATGCCCGAGCGCAGGAGGCAGCGGCAAGTCGACAGGGCAAGACCCATGCACTTCCCGAGGGGGACTCGGGAGGGGGACAGGGCCCGTTGGAGTCGGAGCTCGGCCCCGTCATGTCTGGCAGCCAGGTAGGCCACGAAGACGGGGTCCCCGCACCAGCCATGAGCCCATCGAAGAGCTCGGGGGGAAGCTCGGTGGATTGCGCCCCCACCGAGCGGGGCGAGGGCCCCCCCCGAGCTGCAGCGGCGGAGTGCAGGCAGTGGAGGCGCAGCAGGAGGCGGCGGCAGTAGCACCATGGACATCGCGAATCAGCCAGCGCTTGAGGGGGTCCCCCCTCCTCAGGCTGAGGTCCAGGCGAGCGCAGCGGACCATGGGAAGGCAGCTGGCCCCTGCTCTGAGATGGGTCAGGGGCTCCCGTCCCGCGAGTGCGCCGCCACGGGGCGCGTCCCAGACCTCCACGTGGGACCAACCCACAGCAGCGCAGACAGCTGCCCAGAAGGGATGCAGAGGGGTGCCCTTCCCCCACCCGCAGGACGCAACACCATGGACATCCAAGATCACGACCCCTTCGAGGATGAGGAGGACTACTTGGAGTACCGCCAGGAGATCGCATACCAGGAAAACAGCGATGGGTACCACCAGCACATCGAGGGGCAGCAGGCCAGCCTCGAGTTCAGCCAGACCGTTCGCCGTCGTGCAGCTGGACCTGCTACTCACCCACCAGCAGGACGCAGCACCATGGACGTCCAAGACCACGACCCCTTCGAGGAGGAGGAGGACTGCTTGCAGTACCGCCAGGAGACCGCAGACCAGGAGGACTGCGATGGGTACCACCAGCGCATCGAGGGGCAGCAGGACAGCATCGGCTACGGCCAGACCGCTCGTCGTCATGCAGCTGGATTTGGTGAAACTGCCCCAGGTGACACGCACTGCTCACCTCCTCTGCCAGCTGGCACTCTGGAGGCAGAGGGTACCGATCACCTGGGGAGTCAGAACCAAGCGCCGCCAAGCCCAGAGGCAGAGGAGCAACGAGATATGGGCCTGCCCCCGCCAGACCCCTGGAATGATGACCAACACCAGCGGGAGCGGGAAGACTACGTGGCCATGAGAGACGACCTGGAGTACTGGGCGGCCATCTGGATGGATAACTTGGTGCAGCTCCCCACGGACAACAGCAACTGGATGCAGATCTGTGCGCCGTTCCTGGAGACCATCTTGGGAGGCGGAGGCAACAATGGCATGGTGAGACTGCTCAGGCGTAGGTGCCAGCTGGCCGGCCTCAGCCATATCATCAGGGACCTCTGCGAGCGAGCATTGAGACATGCAGAACCACGACGCCGAGGCTTTCTCCAAGGACTTACGCGAGAGGAGCCGACGAGGAGGCACGAATTGGAAATGATGCATTGGAGGGAGCTCGCAAACCTGCGGAGGTTTATGCGAGAAGTTATAGGCGAACGAGCACCAGAAGGAGCAGCGCGAAGACAACTACATGATGCTCCAGGTACAGGCAGTGGCCGGAGTAGCCGCCGAGAGCTACAGGTCCGCACCCACAGTGGCCGCCAGACGCAGCAGCAGATCAACACAAGACGGCAGCTTGCGCAGCAGCTCAACCAGCCTGACCCAGGCAGGCTGAACGAAGAAGGTGCAGCCAAGGACCAGCAGCAGGCCCTCCTCGCAGACCTGCACGCGATAGCAGAGGGCGCCCTCGTGGACCCAGGGGCAATCAGCAGGGTAGCAGAGGAGGTAAAGAGCATGGCCAAGCTACTCACAAAGGCGGTGAAGAAGGCGTACATCCACTGGGTGCACGACGCCACGTCAGGCAGTGCGAAGATGGCCCACGCCTACACCAAGGCAGCGGAGCGCAGCCATCTGGAGGACATCCTAGAGCACGAGGGCCAGGTCATCAACCACCCGCAGCAGCTGGTGGACTTGCGCAAAGAGGCATGGCAACGCAGGTGGACGCGAGATGCGCAGAAGGCCGAGAGGACCCAAGAGGCGCTGGCCAAGCTGAGGCAGGCTGCCCTGGCCCAAGAGAATGCCCTCGAGCCCATCAGCAAGGACATCATAGGCTCCATCGTCCAGCACCTGAAGCGCAATGCTGGCCAAGGAGCGGACTGGTGGAGGGCTCCAGAGCTCAAGACCATGGGCGCCCAGGGGCTGGAAGATTTCGTGCAGTGCCTGGCCAGCTGTGAGCAAAGGGCAGCTTGGCCGTGGCAATTCTACTTGGTGCTGGAGCTGCTGCTGGGTAAGAAGCCAGGAATCGGCGGAGAGCGCCCCATCGGCCTCATGCCCATGCCGTACCGCATCTGGAGCGCAGCCAGGAGGCCCATAGTAGCCACCTGGAGCAAGGCAGCGGCGGGCTTCTGGGATACGGCAGTAGCTGGCTCCTCAGCGCTACGAGTGGCAATGCACAGACTGATGAGGGCAGAAGCCGCCACGGAGATGGGCTTTCATGCAGCAGGAGTGTTCTACGACGCGGCAAACTTCTACGACAACATAGGCCTCGACCAGCTGATCGAGAAGGCCAGTGCCCTCCAGTGCCCGTTGCTGCCGCTGGCAATGGCCGTGCAGATGTACCTTGCGCCCAGGGCCATCATGGCCCACGGCCTCTTCTCGGACATCTTCGAGCCTGCCAACAGCATGGTAGCTGGCTGTGGCCAAGCGGTAGACCTCACCAGACCGCTTTTGTATGGAATCCTGGATGCAGCGCACAGGCACCACATCTTCGTCGTCATGCAGCAGTACCTGGACGACTTGGCCCTGCAGGTAGAGGGTGCGCGGCGGCAGGTCATTGACCAGATCAAGCACGTGGCAGCGCTGGTGCACGATGGATTCAAGCAGCTCGCGATACCCATCTCTGTCAAGACGGCAGTGGTGGCCTCGGACAAGGACCTCCAGGCAGAAGTCGCCAGCATCCTGGACAGCCTGGGCACCCCCAACAAGCAACCAGGTGTAGTGCGCGACCTCGGCGTGGACACCAGCCTTGGCAAGCAGCTGCGGCGACCCACCCATGCCGCGCGCCAGGCCAAGGCCAAGCAGAGGGTGGCCAAGCTCAGGGACCTAGCGAAGACGGACGCCAGAGGCGCGGCAAAGGTCTATTCAGCAGGTGCCTACTGCCAGCAGGCTTGGGACTTACCAGCGCACGGCATCACGCCCACGGAGGCGAAGTTGGTCAGGGCTACGGAGGCAGCGCTCCTCACAGGCGGACACAAGGCAGGACGCTGCACGTCCACCATCCTCCTGATCCAGAGGGGTATGCAAGAGGCAGTAACCCGAGCCATCGGCGACCAGACCAAGCAGTTCTGGCTCACCGTAGTCGACCACCCGACGGAGCTCAAGAGGTACCAGAGAGGCTGGCTCCTGCTCTACGCCAAGTTGGGCGCCCTGGAACCCAACCGCAGGTGGCAGCAGGTCAAGGGGCCTATGGCAGGGGTCATCGCGCAGTTGCTTGGGTTAGGCTGGATACCGCGACGCCTGGACAGCTGGATCAGCCCAGCAGGTGACGAGTGGGCCTACAAGCCAGATGACATTCCTCACTTCGGCGCGCTCCTGCATGAAGTCCATCAGAGCGCGCAGCAGCAGCTCTGGCAGCAGGCAGCTGGCCATCGCAGTGGAGAAGGACTTCAGGCTGGAGGCGACCTCTATCAGCTGCAGCGCCACCTGAGGAGGAGGAGGCGTAAAGGGCAGCATGCAGAGGCAGCCATGCTGGAGACCATAGCGGTGGCGGGCATCTGGACCAGGGAGCGTCGCAGGGCGGCCAACCTCAACCAAGAAGGCGATGACACCTGCGCGAGATGCGGCGAGGCGATAGAGACAGAGGAACACCGCTACTACGCATGCCCTGCCAACGCAGAGATAGGGCACAGCAATGACGCCGACCTGGCGAAGAAGGCGAAGGACGCGCTGGACCAGCGGCAGGACCTGCATTTCTGGCTCCGAGGCATCCCGCCAGCGGCCTGGGCAGCCAAGGTCGACCCAGACGAGGACGCGGCGAAGGCGGCGCAGATCTTCTGCACCAGCGAAGAGGCTCAGGCTGCAGCCCAGTCAGGGCACAAGGTTCGAGCAGACTATGTCTTCACGGACGGCTCAGGTGGTGCAGGGGAAACGGCCAGGGACCCCCGCCTCAGACGCTGCGGCTGGGCAGTGGTGGCTTTCAGGTTCGACGAACAAGGACGTCCGCAGGAAGTGGCTGCCTGGCACGGCACAATCAGGGCACCGCGCACGGTGCCACGGGCAGAGCTCACCGCCATGAGCAAAGCCATAGGGTACACCACGGCGGCGACAGCCAGGGGGCTCAACATAGTCAGCGATTGCAAATACGCCCTGGACGCACTCAAGCAGATCCAGGACCCTGAGGATCTGGACTACAGGAGCACGAACTACGACCTCTGGCTCCAGACGAAGCAGCAGCTGCAGAACAGCACGGACACCATCATGGGCCACCACATCCCGAGCCACCTGATCGAGCACCCAGCCGAGCTGGAGAGGTGGAATGGTCCCACCTGGTGGGTCATAGGAAACGAGATGGCAGACAAGTACGCAGGCTGGGGAGCGGAGCATGGAGCACTGGATCCAGCCATCATCGCGCAGCAGCAGATCAGGGACCAGCTCACCACGGCGGTGCAGAACCGGCTGCTGGCCATCAACATGGCGGTGACGGTGGAGGACCCCAACAAGGCCCCTCAGCGTCCCAAGGCCAAGCGGCGAAAGCCGCAGACGGCGAGGGACAGGGCAGCCCAGCAGGGACACGACCTGCGAAAGCTACATCCGCGATGGTGGTGTGCAACGTGTCGCAGTGGCCCAGCCAAAGGACAAAGCATCAGAGACTGGTTGGCAGAGACGGGAACATGCCTCGGGAAGTACGGCGGCCACCAGGACCAGCACGGCAACGTCAGGCTCGACTTCAAGGCGGTGCAGATCGGCACGCAGGTGGTGCACGTCTCCCACAAGACGCAGTTCACCCATGGCTGGCTCTGGTGCGAGAAATGTGGCGGCACCAGCTACCTTGGGGACCGCAAGAGCAGGATCGTGGCAGGAGTGGCAAGGAAGCTGGCAAGGCCATGTCAGCCCCCAACAGCAGCAGGGCGGCGGGTCTTGGAGGACATGCAGAGGGGCAAGCTGCAAAGAGGAGCTAAGCCAGCAGCAGACCCAGCTGATGAGGGTCTCGACGAGATCGCCATGCCTGGAGACTTCAAGCTCGGCCTGAGCAACCACGAGGCGATCGATCTGGACGGGGGCAGCTCAGAGGCAGGGGACCCGCAGCCAGCTCCACAGCAGCCACCCAGCCATCCGCACTCTGTAGTCCACGCCAGCTGGAGGCTCGTCGACCACATGGAGGGCTACGCGGAGCAGTGGATGAACATGGTCGACCAAGAGGTCTGGGACGATATGGACGACTGGATGGAGCACTGCGTACCGTACCTCCTGGCCATCACCAATGTGGGTGGCAGAACGGACACGCAAGAGCAGACCAGGGCCGTCACCGTGCAGGAGCTCCAGCAGATCAAGGACTTCTGCGAAGAAGTCTGGCGCAACACGCACCGCACGCGATGGAGGCTCATGACCAGGATGCTTACCCTCCCGTATGGCACAAGGCAGCAGGCAGCAAGAGTGCACATGGACGCCTTCCAGAACAGAAGGAACAACATCCTAGCGCACAGCATCCCCAGCAGCGAGCGCAGGCCGCTGCCGAGAACAGCGGAGGCCAGCCGAGAGTGGTCACCAGAGAACCTGGACGATGATGACTCGACCCCAGACAGTGAAGCCCCAGAGCTGGAGGGTGAGCCGAGCAGCCAGGAGATTGAGACCATGGCGGGACCTGATCAGGGGCACGACGCCAACAGCCTGACGCAGACGGCAGTGCAGGTGGCAGTAACGCTGACCAAGCCAGTGGGGCCCGACCTGATGAAGTTCGTGAGCGAAGCCGACGAGGCCGGCCTGCTCCACCCAAGGTTTCGACACAACAAAGGAGAAGCTGACCAGGACCCCGAGCAGGAGGTGGCGTGGCTCGAGAGGAACAGGCTCGAGCAGCTCATGCAGTCGCTGGCAGGCTGTTGGAGCCAGAAAGAGGGCGAGCAGGGCTGGCCATCGTGGCAGGCCGCGTGCGTGCCCCATGTGCTGAGGGCGCTGCAGACTGGCGTCTACCATAGGCTTTTCAGCTACGTGTCAGGGGCGAGCCGCCAGCGCAGCCAGCGCCGAGCGGCGGAGGAGATCTGCCGCCTGGCATGGCTCAACAGCGGAGAGGCGCGCAGACAGATCCAGCAGCAGGACCCGAAGGAGGCAGAGCGGCGCAGAGCAACGGCTGAGCAGATCCTGGGCGTGACTGAGCCAGAGGTGAGGAGCCGCAGCCCGCGACCGCAAGCAGCAGGGCGAGTGCCAAGCAGGGCTCCAGCCAGACAGCCGAGGAGGCCCCTGTGCGGAGAGGGGACAGGCCACCATGGACCCCTGCGCGGCGAGGGGTTAGGCCGCAGAGGACCCCAGCGTGGCGAGGGGTTAGGCCACAGCCCTGCGCAAGACGGGATGCAGAAGGGCGCCCGTCCCCCACCAGCAGGACGCAGCACCAAGGACATGGCAGACCTCGACCACGTCCCTGAAGAGGAGAACAGCGAGGATTGCCCCCAGCAGCCCGTAGACAAGCAAAACAGCGATGACAACCACCAGCAGTTCCCAAATGTACAGCACATCATAGGGTACCACCTGGCAGACCGCAGAGGACCCCAGCGTGGCGAGGGGTTAGGCCACGGAGGACCCCAGCGCGGTGAGGGGTTAGACCGCAGAACCAAAGGCAAGCAGAGGATCGAGGCGGAGGTCCCTGACGAGCCCAGTGAGCATGACGCGGACGTCTTGACCAACAGTGTGGTAGACAGGACCTCGCAACTAACAGAGCGGTTCCATACCCTGGGAAACCGACAGACTGAACGCGAGGGGGAGGGCTTGGCCCGCGGATACCACGTGAACCGCGAACACAGCGAGTGGCATAGTCGGGGGACCTCGCCTGAGCCAGTGGGCAGCAGCACCGAGGATGGGGGCAGTGCGAGACTCGGCGCTCCCCCGCGTGGCGAGGGGTTAGGCCACAAAACAGCGCAGCCTGAGAAGGCGGCAGACTACGACGAAACAGACCTGCAGCGGGACTTGGAGAAGATGTTCGGCGACCCCCCCCCAGCGCGGTGAGGGGTTAGACCGCAAGGCACCCCTGCGTGGCGAGGGGTTAGGCCACGGCACTCCCCTGCGCGGTGAGGGGGTAGACCGCAGGACCAAAGGCAAGCAGAGGCTTGAGGCGGAAGCCTACGACGTGCCCAGTGAGCATAACGCGGACCTTTTGACCAACAGTGTGGTAGACAGGACCTCGCAACTAACAGAGCGGACCCATACCCTGGGAGACCGACAGACTGAACGCGAGGGGGAGGGCTCGGCCCGCGGATACCACGTGAACCGCGAACACAGCGAGTGGCAAAGTCGGGGGACCTCGCCCGAGCCAGGGGGCAGCAGCACCGAGGACGGGGACAGTGCGAGACGCGGCGTACCCCCGCGCGGTGAGGGGTTAGACCGCAGCAGGCCCCAGCGTGGCGAGGGGTTAGGCCACGGAGTACCCCGGCGCGGTGAGGGGTTAGACCGCAGCGATCCCCAGCGTGGCGAGGGGTTAGGCCACGGCGGACCCCATAGTGGTGAGGGGTCTGCGTGGCGAGGGGTTAGGCCACATGGGACCCCAGCGCGGTGAGGGGCTAGACTGCAATAGGCCCCTGCGTGGCGAGGGGTTAGGCCACGGAGAACCCCAGCGCGGTGAGGGGTTAGACCGCAGCAGCCCCCAGCGTGGCGAGGGGTTAGGCCACGAGCTTCCCCAGCGCGGTGAGGGGTTCGACCGCACCGACCCCCAGTGTGGCGAGGGGTCAGGCCACGACGGACCCCAGCGCGATGATGGGTTAGACCGCAACAGACCCCGGCGTGGCGAGGGGTTAGGCCACCACGGAGCACCCCAGCGCGGCGAGGGGCCAGACGGCAGCAGGCCCCAGCGTGGCGAGGGGTTAGGCCACGGAGGACCCCTGCGCGGCGAGGGGTTAGGCCGCAATGCGCCCCAGCGTGGCGAGGGGTTAGGCCACAGCTCTGCGCCAGGCAAAGCGGTCGTGAAGGCCCATGAGTCCAGGGACCAGCAGCCAAGGCGGTCCCTGGAAGAGCGCAGAGCGGAGGAGCGGCTGCGGCCGTCCATCAGGCTGCTCCTCAAGCTCTGAGAGGGCGGCGGCAGCATATCTTCAGACTGCCGCTGCTCTCGGGGCGACTCCATGAGTCATTGAGTGGCGGCAGTACGACGCCGTGAGATGAGGCCGCTGGCCCACCCCGCCTCGGGCCGTTCTGCCTGCGCGGAGTGCCGAGACCAGGGGCACCCACTCACGGGCGGGAGCACGCGGGTTTAAAACTCCTCCTCCTCCTCCTCCCCCTCCTCCTCCTATTGCTCTTCCATGCTCGTCCTTCTTCTCCTGCCGCTTCCGCTCCTGATTCCTCGTTTTGGGCCCTCCAAGGTGTCCTCATGCTCCTCGTCCGTATTTCTGTTCCTCTTCCTCCTTCTCGTCCTCCTCCTCGTCCTCATCATCAGCATCATCGCCATCATCATCATCATCATCATCATCATCGTCGTCGTCGTCATCATCATCGTCATCATCCTCATCAACATCATCATCATCAGTATCATCATCATCAGCATCAGCATCATCATCATCTTCATCGTCATCATCATCGTCATCGTCACTGTCATCGTGATCATGATCGCCACCATCATCAGCATCCTCATCTACATCATCATCACCAACACCATCACCATCACCATCACACTCGTCCTCATCATCAGCATCACCATCAACATCATCAGCATCGACATCATTATCATCATTATCATCATCATCATCCTCATCAATATCATCATCACCATAAACACCATTAGACGCATCATCATCATCAGCAGCAGCAACATCATCACCATCATCATCATCATCATCATCATCCCTCCTGTCTCCTGTTCTCTCTCTCCTCGTTCCTCCTCCTTCGCGCTTTCTCCCCCCATCGCCTCCTGACCCCTCCCCGCCTCCCGTCCTCACCATCCTCCACGCGATCATCCTTCTCTCTCTCCGTTCCCCTCCGCCTCCGCCGAAGTTCACGACCGCGGCGTCGGCGACACGCGGCCAGAGCGGCCGCGCCAGCCCGAGGGTGAGCACCCCCATCCCCCGCCAGGCCTCGGTGAGGAAAGTGCAGGGCGGTGGCCGGGCCGAAGGCCCCGCCGTCGGTGTCGCCGCCACCGCCGTCGCCGCCGTCCTTTCCCCTGGGATCAGGGCGTCGCAGTTTTTCACACGGACGTTTTCGTATGGTTTTGGGCCTCGGGACCATCACAGATGCATCGTGCTCAAAAACGCGGAAGACAGAATGGGCCTAGGGTGGTCGCGATTTGTCGCGATGTTGCGTGTTTTTCGCAACGTTGGATCTCAGGGTTCGTCTTCTCCCCCGCCGCTGCCGCCGCCGCCGCCGCCGCCGTCGTCGTCGTCGTCGTCGTCGTCGTCGTCGTCGTCGTCGTCGTCGTCGTCGTCGTGGTCTGTGTCGCTGTCGCCTTTGTTGGCGTAGCTGGGACTTGATATGGCTTCAAAGCTCCGGGGATAGGTCCTGTGGGTTCACGCCTTCCTACTCGTCGGTTTTCTCCTCGCCCTCCCTCCGCGCCTTCTCGCCTTGTCGCCGTCGTCGTCGTCCTCCTGCTCCTCCCCTTCTCCCCCTGGCTCTTGGGGTCCATATTGTCCAGGTCTCCCTCTAGCTACTAGAGTTAAGTCGGGTTTGTCCCTCTACAGGAGGAATATTCAAACATAGTCAAAAATAGTCGAGGGATGTTTTTTATATCATTTTTGAGCATTTTAGGGTAATTTTGACTATTTTTATTTTTTCGTCCGAAATCCCCCTGTAGGGGGACAGGCCCGACTTAAGACTAGAGCGGGGTTCGGGGGCAACGATAGGGGGGATAGGCACAGGGGGAATCGCCCGTTGATCGCCGACAGGGGCCCGATAGCCCCAACCAGCCCAGGAAGGTGTGGATTTACTCTCGGAGGCCTGTCGCCGATCTGTCGGCGATGTGTCGGGGATTCCAGGTCGACGCATCCCCCCTATTCCAGTCCCCCCCCTACCGTTGCCCCTCAGGGTGGGGGGTGGCTCGCCTTCCTTTTGTTCGCTTCGCCCTCTGGGCTCCTCCCCCTCCCCAGAGGTCCCGCGCTCTGATTTTTTTTGTCGACGCGGGCTCCTGAGCCTCTTTCGACCTCCTCCCCAGGCTGCCCACGCTCCGGCCCGAGCTGTTGTTTGATGGCCTTGGCTCCGAAGCCCGCCCCCGACAGGCCCAACGTGGCAACAAACCGGCCACCTCGTCTTTTTCGAGGCGCCAGATTCGGGTCGGACTCGACTGCACGTAGGAGTGACCTTTCGCCAGAGTGTCCTTTCGCCGGAGTGACCTTTGATGCTCTTGGAATATGATGTTCCAACCTATTTTGGCTTTGATCACCAGAAAGAATCTCGAGCACCAGAAGAGTGCCGAAGCTCGAGGGCTTTCACGCGTCGGGCCCTGGGAGACGCTCGACCAGCACCGTTTCGACACTGCTTCGACGCGCTTTCGACACTTTTCTGGGTGCTCGAGATTATTTCTGGGATGTGGTCCTTGAGCACGATGGAAGCAACATAAGCCTTGGGTCCGAAACCCGCCCCCGGAGAGGCCCAACGTGGCAACAAACCGGCCACCTCGACTTTTTCGAGGCGCCAGCTTCGGGTCGGACAAAGGGCAAGCCTGGGTCATCGGGAGACGATCGAGATGGTTAGGGACAAAAACGGGCACAAAGTCCGACAGCATCCAGTCCATTTTGAACAGGGCCCGCTGTCGGTGTCGCCGCGGACGTTGTCCACTTGAGACAGAAGGCCGCCTGTCCAACAGCGGCAGCTTTCGGTTTTGGGCAACCCTCGTTTTGGGGCATTCAATTCGGAGCCGTTCCAAAGGAAAGGGGGGTACGCAATTTGCTTCATGCACTTGGTTTCGGCCCCGCTGGACTGGTGGCGCTTTCCTCGACCCCCACCGCCTGGGAGGCGCCAGGCAAAGTGGCACAATGATTACGTGAGTTGAGTATCCTTGGTTATCCCCGTCTCTTCGTCCGACCCGACGCCGAAGTGTTCCAAAGAGGGCTCGGGACCGCCCGAGAGGCGCCAGGCAAAGTGGCAAAACTACTATGTGAGTTGAGTAGCCTTTTTTATCCCCGTCCTTTCGTCCGACCCGACGCCAAAATGTTCCAGAGGGGGCTCGGGCAAGAAGGGTTAGGCCGACCCTCTGCGCTCAGCACCCGCGCTTCTGACCTTCGGAGGAGGTGGACGGCAGGCACTCGGGCCAACCCCCTCCGCCCGGACCCCCGCTGCAGCCCCCTGGTAGATTCAGAATCAGGAGCCTGCAGGGCCAGGGTCGCACAGACCCGGGTTTGGGTGCAGGATCTTGCAGGATCTTGCAGGATCCTTCGCATTGACCTGGGTTTGGGCGCAGGATCTCGCAGGATTTTGCAGGATTCTGCAAGGTCTGACTGACCCGGGTCTGGGTTGACCCGGGTAAGCAGATCCCCGACAGGAGAGCAATCAGTCAGAATCTTGATGCGTTCCAAGATTTACCAGGTTTCCAGGATGCTATTCTTCCACGCGGGTTCCAGAAACGAGGGCCGCTACAGCCAACCCGAATAGTAAGGACGGGCAACCTTCCCAAGGGTACTCTTGCATCCCTGCCTCCTCGGCCCATCCTTGGCCACTTTCGCTGGCCGCGCCCCGCTCGAAAAGCTTCGACGTGGCCTTCCAAGGCCCTTGCATCCTTATTGTTACTATACTGGTCAGGGCTGGAGCTAAACGGTGTTTTGGTGATTTCGTGGACCGTTTTCGTTTCGACTTCGTTTTGCGGTAGAGGCGGATCGAAGACAAGACGAAGCATAACGAAATCAAAACGAAAACGAAGCACACCGTTTAGGTTCAGCTCTCATACTGGTTGATTGCAGATGCGCCGGCAGAGTACAGTCGACCCGCAGAGGAAGGAAAGTCATCCCTCCCAAGGGTACCCTTGCATCCTTGCTTCCTGGGTCCATCCTTGGACAGTTTCGTTGGCCGCGCCCCGCTCGAAACGCTTCGAAATGGGCGTCCAAAGGCCCTTGCATCCTCATCGCGCAGCCTTACTCTGCGGGTTGACTGTACTGGTTGACTGCAGATGCGCCGGCAGAGTATGACATCGCTCTCGCCCTGCAGGCGTCGGGTTCGGCTCCTCCTCCCCGCCCTCCAGCTCCTGGAGCCAGTCCCCGCCCCTCCCCCTCCTCCTCGAGGCCGGGGGATTGTGGAGTCGCTGTGGGTTTGAGACGAAAATTTACGATATTTCAGTTTGTTCCTCATCATTATGCTGATGTTTCCTTTCTCGTTTTCTCTCTCTCTCTCTCAATCTCTCCCACTCCCATTCCCATTCCATTCCCATTCCCAATACCATTACCATTACCATTCCCATCCCAATTCCCATTCACATTACCGTTACCATTACCATTACCTTTACCTTTATCTTTACCTTTACCTGTACCATTACCATTACCATTACCATTGCCATTACAATTGCCAGTGCCATTACCATTGCCATTACAATTGCCATTATCATTGCCATTGCCATTGCCAGTGCCGTTGCCATTGCCATGGTATTGCCATTGCCAGTAGCCACCCCGTTACCATTACCGTTACCATTACCATTACCATTCCCATTACCATTACCATTCGCCACCACCATTACCATTGCCATTATCATTAGCATTACCAACACAATTGCCATTACCATTACCATTACCGCTGCCATCACCATTACAATTCCCATTCCCATCATCATTGCCATTACCATTACCGTTACCAGTACCATTCCCATTACCATTGCCATTATTTTTCCCACTACCACTACCATTTCCATTCCCGTTCCCGTTCCAATTACTACTACGATTCCCATTCCCATTCCCATTTCCATTACCATTACCATTACCATTACCATTACCATTACCATTACCATTACCATGACCATGACCATGACCATGACCATGACCATGACCATGACCATTACCATTGCCATGGCCATTGCTATTGCCATTGCCGTTGCCGTTGCCATTCCCATTACCATTGCCAATCGCTACCCCGTTACCATTGCCATAACCATTACCATTACCGTTATCGTCACCATTACCATTCCCAGTACCATTATCATTACCACTGTCATTGCCATTACCATTACCATGCCATTGCCATTGCCATTCGCCACTACCATTACCATTGCCATTCGCCACTACCATTACCATTACCATTGCCATTGCCATTGCCCTTCGCCACTACCATTACCGTTGCCAGTACCATTACCATTCCGATTAACATTCCCATTCCCAATACCATTACCATTACCATTACCATTACCATTACCATTCCAACTGCCATTACCATTACCATTACCTTTACCTCTACCTTTACATTTACCCTTACCATTCCCATTTCCGTTACCACTACCACTGCCATTTCCATGCCCGTTCCCATTCACATTCCCATTCCCGTTCCCATTCCCATTCACATTACCATTGCCATTACCATTACCATTGCCATTGCCATGGCCATTACCATTGCCATTGCCATTCCCATTGCCATTGCCATTGCCATTGCCATTACCGTTGCCGTTGCCATTGTCATTGCCATTGCCAGTCGCCAACCGTTACCACTATCATTACCGTTACCATTACCAGTACCATTACCATTACTTCTGTCATTACCATTACCATTCGCATTGCCATTGCCATTGCCATTAGCCACTACCATTACCATTGCCAGTACCATTTCCATTGCCATTCCCATTCTCATGACCATTACCATTACCATTACCATTATTACTATCATTTCCATTACCATTACCTTTACCTCTACCTTTATCTTTACCCTTACCCATATCATTCCCATTTCCGTTACCACTACCACTACCATTTCCATTCCCGTTCCCGTTCCTATTCCCATTCACATTCCCATTTCCGTTCCCATTTCCATTACCATTGCCATGATCATTACACTTACTATTGCCATTGCCATGGCCATTATCATTGTCATTGCCATTGCCAATCTCATTTCCATTGTCATCACCATTACCGTTGCCATTGTCATTGCCATTGCCAATCGCTACCCCCTTACCATCACCATTACCGTTACCATTACCAGTACCAGTACCATTAC